TGAAGGAAATTGTCCCTTGCTTTAAATACAATAAGAAAATATTTTCTCAGTTTTTATTGATACAGATATTCAGAATTGATTCTTGTTAGAAGCATTTTCAAGGGATGTGGTTGGCTAATTATTAGAACTGACATCTGTCTGTAGTATTTTGTTTAGTGTAAGTTAGTCTCTGAGTATCTAAGGTACCAATACACAGTCCTCTAAATATTTGTGTTCATTGCTGATAGATCAAAATCCAACGTCTTGTTCGTCTCGGATTTAAGAAAAGCTTGCGAGTGAAAATAACACCAGTTTGAAAGTTAGTAACTGTCTGTTATAGAACTGTCATTATTACCGCTCACTAACCATTCTAAAATTACTGACGAGTTCGGCGTTGGATTTCCGTTCAGAAAGTGTAACAGATAAATTTAATGAAATTTCTATACCCGCCCGGGAAAACTATTCAGACGGGGATTTCCTTTATATTTATCCCGAAAGAAGTTATTCGTCAATATGTTGGTTTGTTGTTATTTGTCTGCGAGTAAACAATGTAAATTAATCACAATTATTATTTTAAAAGGACAAACAAGTAGAGATGTAAAGTATATATTTTATATATCATTCTAATATATGTTGAAACTATGTGATAACTTTCTTACCTCCTCACCTAGGGCTGCACCGATTCTAAAAGTTGTGATTCGATACACAAAACGATATTCATCCAACAAAACGATTTATAGAGATAAAAATCTCGATTCATTTATCAGATAAGGAAAGAAGGGCTCATACATCGCAGTTATTTTTATCCAACGCAATCCGTCGATAGGGACAGGTGCATTTTTGCGGCATTATCGTTCCCTCATTTATTTGAAGTCTGGCCCTACTTGTACCAGTATCACACCCGTATATCATGTCTGAAGAGTTTGGTAGTGCCAGAGTTGTCGGGCTATTATCATCTCAAACCTTTTGGAGATAGTTCAAGATGCAAGAGAAGTACACCATATATCGTAAACCTATCATAATTTTGCGAGAACAGCAGCATTAGCCGGAAATTTTCGATTTCCAAATATTGAGGGATTTGTTAATTTACACGGACTGTAGCTTCGGTTTGCGTATTGTCCCACACGACGTTCAAAATGAACACACAACCACGGGGACAATATATTCCATCAGGAATTTGGTAGAGCCAGAGTTGACGGGCTAATGACATCTCAAACAACTGTGTGTCATTCTACCAACTCCAAATAAGACACATTACTTGTGTTTTCTTCCTTCAATTCTTGTCATCTCAGACATCAAACATCTTCCATCACCATCCTTCATCTCTATCTTTTTATTTTCAAATCAAAGACACCATCTGACTAGCTGGTTTAATAAACAGGGTGAAATACCGTCTGATAGATCTCCCTCCAGAGAGATTGGCCATTTTTTTTTATCATCATCTTCCGCTTTCTTCCTCTCTTTGATCAAACAGCCAATAATTTCAGACGAGACGTTTCATAAAGGTTATGATGATGGAGTAGACCGTTTTTTCCAGGAATCTTTGTAGTTTCGATCACCAGGACATGTGGACTATAAATATGATGTAATTTCTGATGTCCGCTTGATCAGGGTTTTGTAAAAAGTTAAAAAGAACATTTCATGCCTGTAACATGAATTGACATATCCAATTTAGTTCCGGAATCTATGTTGATTTGATCATTAAATATCTCAAAAAATGACACGATATTGGATCTAAAGCATCCAGGCATTTTGGGAAAAAAGAACATTCATGCCTTCAAAAGTCAGTGATATCCAACTATGATCCAAGGGTACTAGATTTGATTACTAGACCTATGAACAAATTATGTTAAAGCTAAGGTGTTCCGTTTGATGAAGATTCTACACACCAAAAACCATAAAAAAAATTGTCATAAATTTTTATTATATCACCCACAAAATTCTACTTCGCATTTGAACACTCTACACTCTTTGATCGGGTTAACCTTTTTAGGCAGAAATTCTGGGGGTGTAGATTTTATCACGAAGACTTTAACGACTGAGGGGGGATAAAAGGGATTAAATGACGACTCTAAGAAACACTGGTCACAGACAGTTAAGAGATTAGGGTGGTTGAACATAACAAGCTACTTGAAGCTATTCAATAAAAGGCGTAGGCACAGGGTTAAAGTTATGTTTACAATATTGTGTGGTAATATTTAGTAAAATAAGCAGAAGAGAGAAATTTTGAAGGTTATTTTACACGTAAATCCTTAGACCTTACATACAAATTCATGATTATATATTTAGAAAATTCTGTTAATATCTATCCAAGCAATTCACTGTATTCTAAAGAAAATATGCAACAATAATCGCCCAGAAGACGACAATCTAATACCTTCTTACAGCTTATAATCCAGTGATTCTGAACAGGGGAGGAATTATTGCCAGGTGGGGTAATAGGGAGGAATCGTTGAACCAGGGAGGAAATGGTAGACAAGGTGATCTGAGACTGAAATTGATGTATTTCAGCCTGAACAGTGAACATACAGAAAATTGTGAACGAATGGTCACATTGAACTATCTTGAAAAGTGGAGTATTAATTTATATTCATTCATGGTTAATTAATGAATACATTTTTCGAGTGAAATGTGTTTTAAAATGACTGATTTATTTCGGGGAGGAATAGATTTGGAAAAACGAAATATCTGAGGTTGCCCGAATTTCTAACGTAGTTATGAGAGTCATGTCCCATAAACATGCTTTCGGGACTGCGAGGGGTGGACGGCTGTCCCCTTTGCCCCGTTTTGGCTCCGCCACTGATAATCAATCAAAAATATAACTGAGAACCAACCTTTAATTTACAACCATCACAACACTTAATAAAAGTTTTGCTTGCAATCTTATGTTTTTATGAAGGAAGATATCTTGTATCAGGGAAATTAGGTTCCACCCACGCTAGTTCTGATTATCAAATTAAGGGTTTTTATCTTCATGAGTGAACGAGGATAAATTTACAAGTTAAATTGGTGATTATTAATGTATTGTCGTTTACACTGCTATTTCTTGGCAATCAGAAGATTGTTTGATTGCTCGTGCCATTTCCTGCCTTGTTGTAAATTTCAAATCAATTGAATCTAGATCGCTATGTGAATTAGGAAGTTGGAAGGGAAATCTCCGAAGATTTTCTGTGTCTGAAACGTATTGTCAGTGGTACTATCATCTATGTATTACGAACTCCGTCTAATACCTTGACATCAATTGGCACTTTTCTTTGGAGAATTTGAAATTTATATATATATATATTCTCAAATGAAATTTGTTTGATCTAGAATTTTTTATTCTTTTTAAATATATCAGATAAAAAATTGTGTAGGTTCCTAGAAGCTTATAAGTGTCTGTACTGTCAAGGAAGGTATTTAACTGGTTTAGAAGTTGTTAAAAGTCAGACGATGAGCGTTAAGGGAGTACAGCCGATTCTACAACAAAATCATCACATGTAGAGTTCAAGAGAATACTAAGTTTTTCCAATGTAATTTTAAAGGATATGGAAACATACGGGTCTTCTTATGTAAATTTTCGTCTGAAATGACAACGGGTTTTTGTAAATGAATACTATCCTATTTCTACTCCAAGTAGGATTAACACAGACGGACAGCGCCATGAAGTGCGCAATGTGGGAATTTCGCCATACCGTCACAACCACGTGTGGTCAAATAGTAAAAGACTATATCGTAGAATGATATCAGTGAACAGACACAGTCAGATAGAAAGAGACTATATCATACAATGATATCAGTGTCCAGATACAGTCTGATAGTAAGAGACTACAACATACAATGATATCAGTGTCCAAATACAGTCAGATAGTAAGAGACTATATCATACAATGATATCAGTGACCAGATACAGTCAGATAGTAAGAGACTATAGCATACAATGATATCAGTGACCAGATACAGTCAGATAGTAAGAGACTATAGCATACAATGATATCAGTGACCAGATACAGCCAGATAGTAAGAGACTATATCATACAATGATATCAGTGACCAGATACAGCCAGATAGTAAGAGACTATAGCATACAATGATATCAGTGTCCAGATACAGTCTGATAGTAAGAGACTACAACATACAATGATATCAGTGTCCAGATACAGTCAGATAGTAAGAGACTATATCATACAATGATATCAGTGACCAGATACAGTCAGATAGTAAGAGACTATAGCATACAATGATATCAGTGACCAGATACAGTCAGATAGTAAGAGACTATAGCATACAATGATATCAGTGACCAGATACAGTCAGATAGTAAGAGACTATATCATACAATGATATCAGTGACCAGATACAGTCAGATAGTAAGAGACTATATCATACAATGATATCAGTGACCAGATACAGTCAGATAGTAAGAGACTATAGCATACAATGATATCAGTGACCAGATACAGCCAGATAGTAAGAGACTATATCATACAATGATATCAGTGACCAGATACAGCCAGATAGTAAGAGACTATATCATACAATGATATCAGTGTCTAGGGATATAAAGACAGTAATACCGAGCTCTTGTTCAGGTCTAGACATCACTAATATCACCATCGTGAATTGAATTTTGAATTCGGTGTTTTTATGACAATTCGCTACTTATAGTGATGACAAGTGGTGTTTAAGATCTGAAACAGGCCTTTAAGATGGTGGTTAGTCTATTAATATTGCTCTGTATTTGACAGGTCTGATTGGCGATTAAAATAAACAACAATTCATCCGAGCTTGACCGACAATATTGTTTGTGTCCGAATTGAATACGAGATACGATACGGTTTTCTCGATTCAGTCGGAATTAAAAGAAGCGAATCGAGTCCGAACCCCTGCTGTATTTCCTGACCCTACCCCGTGATGGCTATGCTCACCTTCAAAAATTTATACGATTTTTCTAATTACTTCTTATCTACATGCAGGCAAATGTTCACCCCTCGAGTTATATTTGGCCTTGACCTAATTCGGATTACTTTCTAATTCCAGGTAACTATGGTGAGAGAGGTATTGAAGAATTTGAAACTAAGATACGTCAGTATAATGTGTGTATTTCGTCATCAGGAAGTGTGTCGTCAACAGCCGATGAGATGACGTATGAGAAGGTGATTGACAGGTTGGAGAGAACTCCCAATGCCACGGTGGTCGTGTGTTTCTGTGAGGGAATGACAGTCAGAAATCTACTTAAAGCTGCGAAACGAAAAAATGTGGTTCAAAAATATTTATTTATTGGAAGGTAAGAATAATCTATTTATAGTTCGTCGATTCGTCAAAATATATTACTTTACTTCAAAGAATCTAAATGGTCTCCATCTTTGTCGCTGTAAACCCTTGGTTCCCAACCTGGGGTGTTTTCGCCCCCTGGGGTTGTGGGAATAGAGTGTCCAGAGTCTGGCCAATTGGTGTTGGAGAAGAATTTGTTTTGAATTGAGAGAGCACCTCACATCATCACATGCTGGAAATGTTGATGAAACAAATTTTTGGGGTGTGTGCAAGGTCCAGGTGATTGCTCCAGGGATGTGAAGGCTGAGAAAGGTTGGGAACCACTGCTGTAAAGCATGTGCTTACCTTACAATACCAAACATCCGAGTCCAGTACTATTCCAGGGTTTTATTCAAATTGAAAACTTTGATTAGCAATAAATCATACCAAATTTTAGTTTTGGCTCTTCAAGTTAAATTTGATTCGCATTTCTGAAAAATTCGGTAGCAATTTAAAATATTCTAACAGGAAACCTTCAAATATACAATTTGATTTGATTTGAAGATTTTCGTGACAAATTTTAATTTTGGCTAATCATAGTGAAGTTTGGATCACAATAGGGGTAATTTTGAATAACGAATTGCGATGTTATACCGTTTATATTGAACTATGTACCATGAATTTATTGCTCCTGATTTTGTCATGGTTTGGACGGGATTGTTTGTGATAATAACACCCGATGATACTTCTCGTTTGAGGTGTCCACTACTATACAACTTTCACTCTCAAATTTGTCATAGTTTGGACGGGACTGTTGTGCTTTTACATGTTTTTATTATATAGAATAGCATCACCCGATGGTATTTCGCGTTTGAGGTGTCCACTTCTATGAAATCATTGCTCTAGATTTTGTCATAGTTACGGCGTGATGGAATCATTTTGCTTGTACGTGTTTTAATGACAATACCAACACCCGATGATACTTCTCGTTTGAGGTGTCCACTACTATGCAATCATTTCTCTAGATTTTGTCACAGTTACGGCGTGATGGAATTGTTTTGCTTGTACAGGTTATTATGACAATGCCAATATTGTTACAATGAGACATGTTCAAACGGAAACAAACCGTCGAGAAGATATATGATGAAAAGTTTTCGTGTTCCCGGTTCAGGTTTAAGCTAATGGAATCTGTAATAAATGTAAGAGAGTCAAACTGTTTGTACTTCACATGTAATGTACAGGATATCTCGGTTGGTTTGATATGCCATTTTACAGGTTTGGCATTATTGCCGATGTGTTATGACGAATTGTGAAAGTCTGGTCATTTTTCCTAATTTTTCTAGATGACCAAACACTTTTCAGAGTTAGTCCTGTCAAAATATTTAACCCTGAAGACACTTTTCAGAGTCAGTCCTGTCAAAATATTTACTCCTGAAGACACTTTTCAGAGTCAGTCCTGTCAAAATATGATTTACTGAATAGTGTACAACATCTAGTATAATTGCGTTTGATGTAGGATGATTTCAGGGTATATCTAATTCTGAATACAGTTTTCGATAACAATTATAATATATTATTCTCAAACCAATAGGATGAAGGATGGCCTCAAAGACAATAATGACCAAGGATATTATCCTGAAGACAGTTCCTGCCAATACTCAAGCACAGGACGACGGACCACCAGTGGCGGAGCCAAAGGGGATAGGGGGCAGAAGGGTTACCCTCGCATGTAACCCTGGAAACGTATTCTCGAAACGATCTTAACACTGGGATCGGAATCAATGTTAGAAGATAAGAAAATATGACATCCTAGCGCTAAGAATACGTGGCCTAGCTCCGCCACTGCGAACCACTACAGCTAGTGTCAGTCCTACCAAAGTATTAAGTGTTAAAGGCAGTTCTTGTCAACATCTATAATAATATATTGTAACCAAGTTGAGAGGATGAAGAACGACTATGCTGCTGATTTTCCTGTCCAAATTTTCATATTCGAACTCGGAGTCAGTCCTGTCCCAATGTTTAATCCTGATGACAAGAATGACTTCGGTGACTGTCCTATCTATTCCCGAGGGCAGTTCTCGCCAACCTCAAGTGAAAGAATATTCCTCAAATTGAATCTGCAGACCAATCAAATATTGCCGTGTTCGTATCGTGTCGTAATTACAAGTCGAGATGAGATAGTTAATATATCTATTACTTCACGTGATAACATTTATATCGCGATATTTCAAGTAGCAGAGGAGATGCAAGAGTACAATTTAATGAAAAAAACGGTAACTTGGAGATAAACTTCCTCTTGTCTTGTGCCTAATTGTCTTATCAGAGTAAAACTGTAAGAAATCGGATCCCCGCTTCAGGATAATTAATCTAAACAATTTATACCGCGATATACCAATTGGTATAATACTGCAAATGCACAATTAAATGAAAAAGTTTAACATCTTACTGTTGTTTTGTGTTTTACGACTTTATGAGAAACCTTCGTTGATGGCCATTGCAGTATAAATGGGATAACAGATCGAGTAACTCGCGCTACACCATCCAGGGATAAGTTTCAGAGCTATGTCATTGAGTAATTCGACCCGATCAGATCTCACTACCAAACTAACAGCACAAAAGCATCCAAATTGAACCAACAACTATTTTGTTTGCGATATTAGGGTCCGCTGAAAGCGAACGTTGTTTTCTTATCTACTAACCTACCTAGTAGGTTCGATACTGGATTATCAATGCAGTAAAAATGGGAGAAGTGAATAGACGAGGTACGGGTTCGGACACGATACGGAATCGATTCATTTCTTCTATTTCTTTCTACAGTATATCAGAATCCCACACACGGACACCATGCCTCGCCCATTCCCAACATAAAGGGATTAAAGGTTTACAAAAATGTATACGTATCTTGGACTTTATTAGCATCGATTTGCACCATTCCAATTTCCAATCAGACGATAGACGTTTAGGCGTTTCATGACGTTAGTAATCGCAAACGTCCTATATACCAATAGAGGCTATTTGAAATTGAAATGGTGTAAATGGATGCTATCAGCATACATATAAACAGTTTAGAAAAATCCTAAACAATCTTTTAAAAATTTTAGAAATCTAGACACTTATAGACTGCCATAGTGGTAAAGGTCGTGGCCAAGGTTGGACAATTATTCCCACCAGACTATGAAACTCTAATAAAGAACTGATCTTGTTTATTTTAAAACGAATTTAAATCCCCAGTCCAACTCATTTCCTTTCAACAACAAAATGAACAGAAATCCTACAGACTACATCCAATTAGGACGACGAAAATTAAATTCACGATTGCTTTTTTTATAATGAAAGTTCTTCTTTCATTCAACGTGACCTTATTTGCTGTGTCACGTGTTCAGTTTGTACCTTGGTTCAAAGAGGGAATTGACATTTAATAGTTTATATATTAATTGAAATGAAATGAATGGAGTTTTACGTCCTACTTTGCTGCACCATGTGGGTTAATGAAGATGGGCAACGCCATGCAGGGAAATTTTGCCAGGACAGCGGCATTAGCCTCCTCTTTTTCGATTGTCGAAACTGTCGAGGGATTTTTAACTTGCACAGCCTGTAGCACACGGGGCCTCGGTTTATTGTCCCATCCCAACGACTAGACGCTTTTTCCATGTTAGCCCCTCTTACCTGCATCACTGACATGGTGAAACCGGGTTGAAAAATCCGACCTATGCCGTGATTATATTAATTAAAAAAAACTGTTAAGAATAAAGGAAATTTGATACATTCGACTGTTGTGCTTCTTATTACATATCTTTTTAAAACCTAATATAACCTGCTAAAAATTGAATAAATGCAGTCCGTAAAACCACTGCCAGAGAAGTCTTTGAAATATAGAAACTAAAAGTTTTCTCTTTAACAGACCGTAAACCCTTAACAGAGGGCATCAAACTTCATATTAAGGAGCTTTTGAATAGTAGAAAACAAACTATAAACATAAAACTATACATGGTGTTATTTTGATGGTCAAACCAGCCATAAAACTAGAGATATAAAGGAGAAGATAAAAGCAAGAGAACATTGGAAGAGTTTTCATTGCATCCTAAATAATTTAATCAAGTTATTAGAAGTCGAATTGTGTGACCAATTCCTTGGTATTTAAATGATTTACTCCAATTTAATGACCGGCAAACTGTTTGTGGTTCTCGCCACGTTCCACGACTCTAAGATTTGGTTCCTGGTACAGAATATCAATGACTTCAACTGGTTCAGAGTAAACTAGGTTTTTTACACGCCATTTTATAATCGTTTAGAACGAAAGGAAGTAGACATCCGAGACTTGCTGTCAACTGAAAAAAAAAAAGAAATTGTTCGAATTGCTTTGAAACAAAAAGAAAGTCTAGAAAAAACAATTAGAGAATGTAAAGAAATAATGAAATAAGATGCTGGGTATTAGAGGGTGACAGCCGACAACGGGCCGACTCCCGGAAGCACTGGCACAAGCATTGAAATTTTTCTTACCATCGAAACCATTCGAATTTGAGATAACAATCGGTTAAGTTTTTTTTATATTAAGTTTTCTTTTAAATAAGGTTCAAGTGTTGCTAGTCGTCTTCATGAAGTACATAAAAGGCTTGTAGCCAATATCATTTTCTCAATAGTACTACAGAAAGGATTTCGAGTTGAAACACTCATTCGTCTGATGGACTCAAGTGTCCCACAAGAGTTAGCACACACACCAGACGTTAGACCAATGACGAGCTGAATTGTAGTGCCATCTTTGTAAGATACGCATATCTCTTAGTACCAGCGCTAGACTCTTGGCACAGGGAAGGGACAAACTGATTTATTAGGTGGGGAGTGGCAACTGTCGAGATTGAGATGATATCTGTGTCTTGAAAAGGTGACAGGTGTGAATTTTGCGTGTTAATCTTTGATCTAAAACAACAAGACAGGAATTACAATGTCAATTGATGAAAAATTTAAATAAATAATTATATAGATGTTGGTTTTGTAGACTCATAGCAGATTTATCTAGTAAATTACCCAACACGCTAACTGTCAATATGGCCAGTTAATAAGTCAAAGAAAAGAAATGCTCCTAAATTTCCGGCTATATTTAGAACAATTATCGCTGTCGTCTGGCTGTTATTTTGTTTTATTTCACAGTTTAAAATTAAACATTTTCATTATTGTGATTATCACAGCCGCCATGGTTTATTGACGTCATTAGAAAAGGAGTTCCTCGCGTTGTTAATGACGACGTCAAAATTTGAATCTGACGTCCTTAGTCTTGATACAATAAAGAATTTGAATGAAGTTTTTTGTATACCTTCTAACTAAACCTCCCCCGCCCCCTTCTAGACTCCCTGATATCTTGGCCTAGTTACGGGCCTGCTTGTTATTGTTGGGGAAGACATATGCTCTAAATGGCAATGTTTATTTTTCAATGATGATTTTGGACAAGCAGAAGGTGTGTCAACTGGCTCCGTACAATATCAATCTATTACGAACTGGGTGTAATGCTGTATTCTGTGAAGTGTGAAGTTTCTCTCTAGGAAGTTGTAATTACCACTTGATTCTATTCGGGACACATTCGAAAAATTAGTACAAACGCATGCGCTCTAGAGAGAAATATACTTTATTTGCATAATAATTATATCACGTGTCTCCATTATATAATCTGATTGGTTGCTCTATATTAATATGTCATATGACGTCATTCGGAAACTCGAAATAATTTTAGCTACCTTATGCTGTATTTGTTACCTCTGGGAAATACTACTTCCGAGATGGTATATAGCATTCGTTACTTCAAATTCTGCTCGGAAGCATACAGCGCAATACCTTGACAGCAAACAACATGTTTATTGTATCATTGAAGTTTGTAAATGCCGTGATTTGATTGCATTGTAAGCTGGCGAATATAACCAATCAGAAACCTCGTTTACACACCCAGGTAAATAGTTGAGGTAAGTCTTTTTGTCGAAGACTCTTCTGGGCTGTGATGAAAGACGGTGGCTATTGCAGTCAAGTTATAAGACGAAGTTCGCAGTAACTTAACATTGTGAAGATGCTCCTGACTGTACAACAGATCTTATAAGTATTTAAATATTTGATATTTTTCAGTGATGGTTGGGGAAATCGACAGGATGTAGTTGAAGATATCGAGGACGCGGCGGTGGGTGGAATTTCTGTTAAACTGTACTCGCCACGTCTGAGAGATTTTGATGATCACTACTCCAACCTGAAACCCTACAATAACTCGAGGAATCCCTGGTTTAAGGAATTCTGGCAGGAGAAGTTTGAATGTCGCCTGGACGCTGGTGATGATACAGATTACAGATATAATAAAACTTGCTCAGGTCAGTTCCCTTATGTTGTT